CACCCGCTCGACCTCATCACTTCTTTCTTTGGCTAACGGCCCCTCTCTAAATATCTGAATCGTCCGATGGAGGAGTGAAATCTGGCCCGCAATCATCTGTCCCCCAATCATTTTCCTCAAGGCCGCCTCTGATTCAATTGAATCAAATCCTTCAACAATAGAGGCTATCTCTAGGTCCCCAAACAGATCTTCAGGCCCAAACAACGACTTATTCTTCACTGTACTATCAAAGAATTCATCGAAATTGGTTCGAAGGCGTGCCTTCAAGATGGTCGCAAGGTCATCGGTCAGCTTCACTCGCTTCAAACGATCGATGTCCTCTGAGGGGTTGGGATGGCCTTTTCTCTTGTTGCTTCTTTTCTCTTGTACATGATCAGACCAATCCTCGTCCATGAAAGTATCCATGTTATTGGTTGTCATTTGGCTGAAGTTCTTCATTAATCCCTCCGCCGCCTGTGGCATGCAATTAGAGCATTTGCATTTCACAAATTGCTCGGCTTCTTCCCGTGCCTTCTCGATCTTGTAAGATGGGTCATCAACTGACAATGGAATGTATCCAAGTCTAAGTGACATGAGCCAGCCGTAAACAAAACATTCAGATCAGTTCTTGAGCAACCATCACTAAGACTGTAGGAAAATACTACACACGCATTGTCCACCGCAAACGCAATCCTCAGACAAACCGGTGTCACTGCCAAAGCGTCCATTCGATCGGTATCCCCCTGACTGTCAGGTTTAGTAAAAGCGGCGACCTTGTTCTTCCCATTTTTCCGGGTCTTCTCCACAAAGATGATAGCCAGGCCCGCTCTTCCATCTCGTCCGGCTCTCCCAATCATCTGGCAGATCGCCGAAGGCTCAGCCCGCCCCATTTGAATCACACATCGCACTCTGGACCAGTTTTGGCCCATCCCCAACGCCATTGTACAAGAGATGACAGGCAACTCTCCATTTCCGAAATCTTCAATCAGTTTAATCTTGTCCTTCTCCCCAGTGCACGAATGAAAACGGCGGACAAAAGTCGAATTGGGTCTCAACGAGCTCCCAGGTGTCTTCCGAGCAACATCCAAAGCGGTCATCACATGTAATGTCCGATTGCGAGTTGAGCTATAAATCAGGGTGGGTACCACAAAAGCATCGGGCACATCGGCAACCGATGGGAAGTATCGCGACAGCTCTAAGCCCTTAGCCATAGAAGAAGTAATCGGAACACGGATGATGCGCAATTCGGGTCGGGTGAGTTCCGCTTGGACAATCTCTAGGTTGTGATCCTCCAGTTTTAGACTTTTCTTGATGCCTTCCATTGCCACCGGCCTGCAGGTTGCAGACATCAGTAGGATCGGGCTTGTTATTCCGAGTAAGCAGACGACCTCCGATCTTCCCATAGTATGGCCTGAAAATAGCAAGATCCTCAATTTCGCCCTCGGGCCGCAACCTTATCTTTTCCTCTACTAGATTCCACGAGCCCCCACTGGTGGATCACATGTGCCTCGTCACCACGACCAAAGCAAGCCGATTCTGGAAATTGGGGGC